AGAACTAGAGAAAAGTGAACCTCAGGCGCGCAGCTGGTTTGGATTTACCAATCACTGACCGCTGATTGACACCAGCGTGGTCAGTTCGATCCGCAGTGTGAGGGGAGTCGGCAAGCGATCGGATACAACAAACCCTGGATTCTGATGCAGTAAGTCTGGCATGGGCCTGAAGTCTTGTATGTCTACAAGCTCCTCACGCATGTCCACCCTGCTCCTGGACGGGGTGACAAGTGGACAGCCGCTAGGCAGCTTGGCAGGCCGACTTGCTGCTCCTGTTCCCTGTGTTGGCCTGACATGGGCTTGCGAAGCCGTATCAGCATGGCTCCCAAAAGAAAGATTCAAAATACTAAGTTGTTCCTGCCTAGAAATCTGGATTTCTCCTGCTGCCATGACAAGTCTCTGCAGCTAACAGACAGGCTGCGGTGGAGGCTGGCATGGCTCCCGGAAGAAGGGCAGCCCCTGCAGCAGCTATTCAATGGGTTTCCTTCCATGGGAATTTTCAAATGTGTAAGAGAGAAGAGGAAAAGATTCTTCTGCTTTGGGAAAAAGTCCAGGCAAAGGCCAGGTTGTAGCAAAATCCCTAAAGATGCCAGCCCAGGAGAAGCGCTGAGGTGCAAAAACTGCAGAAAGCCCCTGGTGCTGTCTGTATGTGGCTTACCCATCAAACTAACTTTCCTTCCTTCCTTCCTTCCTTCCTTCCTTCCTTCCTTCCTTCCTTCTTTCCTCCTTCCCTCCCTGACTTGCAGCTTCCTTGCGTGTGAGCCATGGCTGCATATCCAAATCAACAATTAAATCCCCCCTTTGTTTGTGTGGCAGATGACAAATGCATGGAGGACATCTTGTGTTGCCTAGGCAAGCAGGGCACTTACTTTGATTGATGCTCAGTTGTAGAAAAAAATGAGCTGGGAAGGAATTACAATGGAGGGCCTGCAGACTGGAAGGGGATATACTAATTAGTCCTGCATTAAGCAGTCTGCTTGCATTTGGCGATGGGATGCCTTCAGGAGGGAAGTGGAGGGGTTATTGATGCAGAGCAGCATGGAATGCATTATGCCAGGTAGCTGTATGTTCATTTTGCTAAAAAATGTATCAAGAAGCAAACACTTTGGCTACCGTGTATTTTTTTTTTAAACACTCACACTTAAGTATATTGGGTCAGCCAAGCTTTGTCTCCCTACTTGGTCCTGTAGGCCAAGGGGCAGCCCTTTTGTTTCTCTGAAAAGATTTCCAGAGTTTCTTTTTCATCCTCGATAAGGTACTAGGGGAGGCGAAGCTGCTACCTTATCTACAGTTCATGTTTCTCTTCTCTGAATCCTACTGCAGAGTCTTGAGTCTTGTTGGTGTGGAACAACAACATCACAGGTGGAGAAAGACATGCCCCCTTTCTGAGGCTGTAGAGGGTTGTTGATTCGACCCAGGACAAAGCCGATGGGGGGTAAATTGAGACAAACAGCCCAGACTGTAGGCAAAGGCTTTATTACATAGGAATAAAAACCACACAAATCCCATGCCTGCGTTGGGCTTAGAAGTCTCTGTTTTAGGTCGCAGGCAGAAGGAGTGTTTTGTGCTGAAACATTTCATAATTCAAGGGTGACCCAGATGCTCTAGGTGGCTGGAACTTGTGATCTAGGGGGCACAAATGGTCATCTCTAGGTCACTGTCTCCTGAGCAATAGGAGACTAGAGGGCAGCACAGAGAGAAAGGTCCCCAAATAATCACTGCCACGTGCAGTTTAAAATTCAAACCTTGAAATGCTGATTTAGTCCATTTGACCTGAAGAACCAATGAAACTGGGCTTAATGAAGAGAAGGCACAGAGGTCTTTTGTCACGGTGGGAAATAAACAGACTTGGGACTCCCTTGACTTCAGAGCCGCGGTCACTAGGTAAACTCCTGGTAATCCTGGCGCCTCAGCCTCTTGGCAGGGATTACAAATAGGAGCCACCAGACCCCGCTAACACTGTGCCTCTGTTTGTGGAGATCTGTCTAGCGCACACCAGGCACCTTGAACTTGCCCAGTGGGAAGCAGGTGGCCCCGTATTCTAGGCTCCTTTTCCGAGTCATCTTATCCTGGTGCAGCCGAGATTTCTCTTCACTGTTCTGAATCTAGCGACAAGTTCATTCATGGATTTATAGATACCGATGCTGAGGAAAGATGCCAACGATAAAGATAGGATTTCTAGTCCTCAAAGACAGCAGAGCCCTCTTTTCCTTAAGCTTCAGTTATGACTCAGAGTATAAGATAGATATCAGAATATCTGAAGTATGATCAGATGTCGAAACCCGCCTTCCACAGACAGACCAGGAACTGTGCCAATAGCTCTAGGAGGAAAAGCTAAATAGTTAATGTGGTTTATTTTTTAACCATCTCTTTGTTTTAGAATTCTATCTTATTCTTGAACTGATTCTATGTCACTGTGACCTTCTCCTGCCAGGAAGGCACAGTTGAGGCCTCCTTCAGTAATAGCCTAGGGCTTTGGACAAGCAAGAGGCTGTGCTAGCTCCTTGCCTTTTCCTCCAGTGTTTACACAACCCAGGCTTATTACATGCTCTGTCATTTTGTTACTGGGCCGGCTTTGGTCTGAGGATTAGGTAAACATCAGACATTCCATCACACAATTTTAAACTCAATCTTACTTTATAATGATGTTAATGTTTATTGTACCAAGCGAGATGCATTTGTATATTCCAGGATCTTATTTCAGTCACAGAATGCAAAACCTGACATTGGAATCAGCTTGGTGTGTGTGTGTGTGTGATTGAAGATTTTAAGCGCTACAAGAACATTGGAATTTCAATCTGATTAGGATCAAAATTCTGCAGGATCAAAACACTCCTTTTCCTCCCCCTACAGTTTGACTAATTGTGCGCTACTTGACATTGTGGGGTTACTCCACAGCATGGCAGCTAAGTATGTGAAGTGTATTTTACTGTGCAGATTTATCGGCGCCTTCTATTTGTTTTTCATGTATTTAAGGTTATTAGAAGAACTCAAGATGAGACTTCGTGTGTGCGCGTTAAAAGTATGAACTCAATCATTGTTAGGAGGCTAAATCATAAAGCAATAGCCAGTAAGTCAATATCAAGTGATGAAAAAAAAATCACAGATTTTGAGAGCATACCTTCTCTGTTTATTAGATCGCAAGATAGCAGAGAAATTAGAGCTGCATAATGGTGGATGGCGGAGCAGTTTATTTCCCAGCACGTTTAAATGGCTCTGGCTACTGAAACAAGACAAGAGTGGATGGGAAAGGATGCCCGGAAGCGTATTTGCTGGTGACTTTTGGGAAGGCATGAGCTGCATGGCCTTGCATTCCCCAGGAACTGTCTTCCTTCAAGCTGTGTATCAATTCTGAGAGAAACAACATGGCGTTGTCAAAATAAAGCCCACGGATGACAAAGTTCTTTTCAAATTAGCAGCAGGTTTTAGAATTTAGACCTTAATTAAGGCTCTCAAATGAGAAAGAACCCCCTGCTTCAGCCCTCCCCCAAAATGGGGGGGGTGTCATTGTCGTAAAAACAGTATCTTCATTTTTTAAAAAGTCTGTACGCCTGGCCTGTGGTGTTCCAGAAATACACCCGCTGGTCTCTTCAGAGACCTGTAGTTTCTAAATTTTTTCCTGAATCCCCAGCAACACAGAACCTGATGTTTCTGTTCAGGAATAGAGCATCATTTTCTCCCCCCCCCCCCCCCCAATTAATTGAAGAGCCATCTGCTTCTGTGATACATAACACCCATTTGTTCTTAGCCACAAGTGTGTTTCCTGACTCCCTGGTGAGCAATATCAAGGCACGTGCCTAGCATCGGGAGAAGACTGGGCTAGAGAGCAGCCATGGTCAGGCTATGGGCCCAGAGGCCCAGGATCTGACACTGACTTCGGTCTTATGCCAGTTTTGCTAATGTAGAGTTCAAAACATAGTACCATGGTGTTGACCATGTAGAGACTTGCTTGGGCTAGCTGAGTCTCTGTCAGGCTCTGAACCGCTGAGCTGAAAGTGAAGAACTGATTGCAAAAGGCTGGATATCTGGGGAGTAGCTCTCCTCAGCTGTGACAGGAAGGGGCAAAGACTCCCATGCTGGTCTTGGTGACAAAAAGCCTCCATCTTGAACTGGACTACGTCATGGGTAGTATGTTGCATATACTGAAAATTGGGCTTCTGAACTGTGTAGAACCTTCCAGAAATGTAGCTGACAGAGCTGGTCTTTCAGGAAGTCTGTAGAACAGTCGTATTCTTGGAGGAGGGAACTTCCACTAGTTCCCAGCTTCCTGAATCTCTTCTGCAGAAACAGGCTGGCGTACTCTGAGAGAAACCCTCATGCCGAGTCCGTATGTGAGCTGTTGCTTAGACTCCACCAGAGTGTAGCTGCTCTTGACTCTCTCATTACAGACGGTCCCTGTGAGTTCAGTCTGAGGTGAGGAGCCCAGAGCAAGACTCAAAGAGCAAGCACCAGTTTCTTACTCCCAGGAGTGGAAATCAGAAGTCAAGGCTCCTCCGTGTGAGCCTCTTTCGTGAAAGACACTGCTCTTGACAGGTGCTGTGGTCTTGCGTTCTGTCCCTGCCCTGCCGGACTCTGCCCTTACCCAGTTTTCGCAGCTTAGGCAAGTAGGAATTTTTACGAGGCTCTGGCCTATTTGAACTTGTCTTCGACTGTGTCTGGTTTGAAACCGAAACCACAAATTTCAAAGTGGAAATTGCTGTCTAGAAAATGAAGGGGTCAAGGAGGCGTTTAAGACGGAGGTTCTCTCTCTACTTCCTGAGAGACAGCACGGAGACCACACAATTCTAGAGGAATGCCAAGAGATGGCAGAATTCCCTGTGCCCAAGGCCCAGCTTTCAATATAAGACCAATGCCACTTACTTTCTCCCATGGGGTGACAGTCATTTCAGATATAGACAGGAGACATGAAGGGGCAGGTCAGCACCGAGCCCCACAATGTCAGAGAGACAGACAGACAGATGACATGTACCTAGGCTACATCCCCTCAGAGGGGTACTTACAGTCCAGGTGACTGTGCCTGATGCCTTCTACATCCTCAGCATGGATGAAGTGGTAACATCGTTTCCCTACGATGTCTACAGGGGTCAGGTCCATGTAATCACTGATCCTGTGAAAAGAACAACCCAGATTGGAACCCAGAAAGCTGGAAGCTAGAGAGACTGTCAAATAGTGCACGAGGCTGAGCTAGCCACATTTTCATCACGCCAAGTACCTCTGAGGATGAGGCACTCGGAGCAAATGCTCTCAGCAGAGAAGATTATCTCGGTGGCAGATAACAACATTTTTCAAAATTTGGATATGTGCTAGATCAAGCAATTGCATTTAAGTAATTAGGTAGGTTTTTCCTTGGCATCAGAATGCACATTCAGACAACGTAATTCCATGAAATTATTGAGGAACTGTAACAATGCCGGATCCTCATTACAAGCCAAGATAATTCAAGGTTACATAATAAAATAAAAACATGTTATGTTTATACCGAATGATTAGAGACACCTTTCATTTAAGCAGATTGGTCTACTGTTGGGTATTTCCATGAAAAAGGGATTCAACTGCTTCTTGGCACAAAGTCCAAATTGGCATTTCAAGGGATATAATTTAAATGCCGAGACATACAGATGCCTGGGGGTATTATCTTTTTTAGTCTCAGTCATTTGGGAGCTCGGCTTTCACTCCTGGCTCTTTTAACTGGTGCTTTGTGGTAGATGCTACACAGAAACTTTTAAACCATTCCAGCAGCTTCTTCTGGGCCTGCACTTGACAGTGTGTGTGTGTGTGTGTGTGTGTGTGTGTGTGTGTGTGTGTGAGTGCCTGCCCGCTGTCCTCAGGCAGGGCAAAGGAAAACAGAACCCACACTAGAAAGCATGTAGGGGGCGCTGCCTTTTTTATATAGGCATGTATAAAATGCCTATTACCTGCTGTATCATTCATTTTGGTTGGTAAAAAATTTTGTTTAACTTAATTTTTATAGTCCTTTTAAAATTACTTATGACATGGAATCTATTCACATGTAGAGCAAATATTTAGAAATATCACCTTTAAGAGACACGAGATTAGTCCTGGGAAACTATGCCTGACCCATAGGATAGGGAACTAAGAAGGAACAAAAATGCCACGCAGTTAGCTGAACATGGTGGCACATGCCTGTAAACCTTCCAGCAGAGGCAGGAGGATCTTTGTGAGTTTGGATCTAGCCTGGTCTACACAGTGAGTCCCAGTACAGCCTAAATAGTTGGCTAAATAGTGAGACCTTTCTTGAAAACAAACAAACAAAAAACAAAATAAAAATAAATAAGTAAGTAAGTAAGTAAATAAATAAATGCTTTGGGGTGTCATTAAAATGTACTACTCCATGTAGTGAATAGATTTCTCAATGTCCAGTGATTGAAATGACCTTTCTGACCAAACTAGACTTCGTAGGAAGAGAAGATTCCTTGGGGGATGAAAAGATGATTGGTTGCTTTGTTTGTGAGCTTGCTTCCCAAGGACAGTTAACATGCCTTTCTTCTTGGTGTCTGTGACATTTGCCAGCTTCTGAAAGCATTAGATGTTAGCTTTGTCCTGGGCCATCCTAAGGACACAAGAATCGCCAAGGAGCAAGCTTAGCTTCTAGTTTACAATTTCCTAATTAAATAATAAACGCTTGGAAAAAGCCAGGCCATTGTTTGGTTAACTCTTGATTTGGATGAACACCTTCCAAAAATCAGGATCAAGTCCTAAAGATGGACTAGAGTCTGTTGCAGTGAATGCTGTCAGTTCGGGAGTGGAGGAGTTCTTAGTAAACACCCGGGAGTGACAGGCCAGGAGCTCTGCAGGCTGGAAGCAGAACTATCCTTCCACTGTCCTTGTTCCCTCACCTGTAAATAACTTCAGGACTTGGTGGGGAGAGTCATGAATGAATGGGATTAGCAAGGCCCAGAGTTTGGCAGCTTTTCTGTAAGGCAAATATGCAATTTCCCCTCAATAAAGGACTTTTTCAGAATTGCTGTCATCTTCATTTGGGGAAGAATTATGCATTGTTTTGGTTAATGGAGTTTTTTTTTTTCTTTTTTAAGGAAAAAGCTAAGAGCAGGTCACAGAAAATAATCGCAATTGCTAGACTGGAATATTGAAAGCTTGTTAGAAAATTAGTCACTTGATCACAGCAATGAAAACTAGTGACATTCTGGGATAGGACAGCTGTTGGAAATTTGGCAGGTGAGAGGAGGCAGGTTTCTGGAGGGTTCTGAGGTGTGTCCATCTTCTGGCAACCCGTCTCCCTTTCTTTGGTCTCTTCCACTCTCTCACATCTTAACTTAGAGACTAACGGCTTTGTAAAAACTCCACTGGGTGTATATATGGAGTTCCCCTCAGATGTTATTCGGAATGGGTCCTTACCATTCACTCTGCCACTGAAGGAAAACAGGACAATGGGAGCCCTCACGGCATGTGGTTAAGTCAGGGGCTTGTGAATCCTTCCTCTCCAAAAACAAGCTGGCCAGGCTGACAGGAGCAATGATGGTACTTACCTCGGAGAGCCAGGCAGAAACGGGCCTGCAGGGTGACTAGCAGATGCGTGGGCCAGCAGGCACAGACAGATATTCATTAAAATCAGTGGCCACTGTTAGCAGATGCCCACTCCTGCTAATCCTTCCGTCTGGCTAACTTGTCTTTCCTGACACCCTATGTCCCCTCTAGAACACCCGCGGCACACCCAAGTGGACAATCACAGTGAAGATTTTGTGAGTGCCAGCAGACCTGGAGCATGGTTAGAATTACTTATTGCAAAAACAGTGACAGAATCGCGACACTGTCTGCACCATTGAGCCTCAGAGCTCAGGGAAATTCTTTCCTATGGCTGGAAATAGACCATTCCTGAAGTGATCTCAGCTTGTGGCTTTAGTAGCCCTTCCCAGTGGACTGGGTAGATGCAGGTGCTTCTGACCTTCCTCTTAGCTAGTGTCTGGGGAGGTCAATTACCCAAGCCACTTGACCATTCTGCTCTCCTGTTTCCCCTCTGAAGGCATTCCCAGGGCTCAGGGGACGTACACTGCTCCAAATCCGACAACGGTCTATGGCCCCTCAGCTCCTTTGGTCTCCAGGCAGAACCAGGGGACGGCAGTTTTGCCATGCTGCTTTCCCAAGACTGATGCACAGGTAGCCCCCACATCCTCCCCTCTCTCTGCTTCCCGATTCTCTCCTCACGTTTGTCAGATGGGCTGGTGACTTCTAGGTGAAAGGGCAGTAAAGTGCACCTTCTCCCATCACTGTCCCCTGCTTTGTGCTTAATGGAAAAAGTGAACTTTCAAACCAAAGGCTAAAAAGTCCTTTTTGAAGAAGCTCAGTCTTGGGGAAGAACTGCCAACTCATTTCTAGGATGAATCATCTTTTTTTTTTTAATTGATAAAAGAGAAATCGTCGCATGACAAAGTTTTATTTAATACTGTTGCCAATTCCTTTTCCGGCAGATTTCCTCTGGGGGGGGGGGGCTTGGATTCTCATCTGTCCTATGCTGTGTCTGGGAGGATACTGCCCATCAGATGCAGGGCCCTTGAATTAGTGGGAGGCAAGTCACCCAGAGGCATAGGAGATGCCTTTTACTGCATCATTCTGCCAATAGCATCTCAGCCCTGCTCTCAACTTAGGTCCTCAGCCAAAACGGGGCCTTCTTTCTAGCGGATGGATGCCTGGGTATCCCAATTCATTCAATTGTTGTCCCAAATGGAAGTCAGGGAAGCAATGCAAATTTTAAATAAAAAGCATGTTTGGTGTCAGTCCAAGCAGCCATTAAAAACAAGACCAGGGTTTAATGTGCCTCCCTGGGAAAGTAAAAAATCTTCCAGGCAGCCAAAAGCAAACCTTCACCAATGGGAAGTGTGCAGTGGGATGAATTGAAACCATTCATTTCAGATGAAAAAGAAACCAAAGTACCTATTTTCACAGTAAATGATATTGAGGTCCATGTTTACTCGAGTGACGAACATATGGCAGTCAATCCTGACTTCATTGATTGTAGGGGGAGGCAAGGCGTGAGCCACCACCACGAGACCCATGATTTGGCTGGGGACTGTCCTCCCATGGGACAACGACACTCTGAGGCGAAGCCGGCCTGTTATGTGAATCACCTGGAAAAAAAATGAAGTACAGGACACCAGTCAGACGTACATCCCAGAAGTACAGCTTCTTTCTCCCAAAGAAGGAAAAGTCTCATCAGAAAAACCAATGCGAGGTTGTACCTTCTATAGCATAGCGGCTGTCAGCGTGGCCTCGATATGCTCATGGTCAAGCATAAATACATACTACTTGCCTTTTCCAGATAGCATCGTTAGAGTGCTGTGCTGTTATTTTAAGGACCCCTCCCCCAACATATTTATAGGAAATTCATCTTCACATCATAGGCCTAAAATGCTGAGCACTGAGCTAGCTGCAGAAGGAAATGTTTGAATTATTAGCCCTTGTTAGTAAAAGATGTCCTTCTCTCTCTGATTTCGGGGTGAGAGAGATTGCATGCCCATCTGCTTTTTGGAATTCGTGACTCACGGATTTCCTTCATTCAGAAAATTCAGTGAGTTTTACAAGAGTCAGACTGAGGACAAAGGTATAAATGGATTCTTTTGGTGACAGACATCTCTCAATGGGCAATACCAGGTGACCAGGAGTTTTGCGACTGGGTGGGTGTTGGGGGAGGCTGGCCCGTGATGTATTCTGTGAGTTCATATTTAGCAGAGTCAGGAAGATGCACACGGTATTTGTGGCATCTCGGATATACCTGCCTAGGAACTCCCGGAGGAGTATTGGTGGAATTGTTTGGTTTATTAGCTGAAGTGTACACACCACCCAGAATGGGCAGAGGAGACCCACAGGGGCAGCTTTAGGAATGATGCATTAGACAAAGCCACAAATGGGTGAAGACCATGAAGGGTTTCTATGCTGTACTCTGAGAAGGTAGATAGAAATGGGGTGTGTGTGTTGTGGCTTGGGGACGCACGAGCACATGCGCGTGTCAACTCTTGCAGCATTCTGAGGCCCCTGTTGTGAGTGGGATCATCCAAAACAAGGTCAAACAAGAGACTCCCGGGCTTCGCTCCACAAGGAGCGCTGTTTAGTGGCTGAGTTTCCACGTCTGCTTTGCTCTCCAAATCATTTCATCACAGAGTGCTACACCACTCCTCAAGATTCCACGTTTGCTCCCTCACTGTGAGGAAGCAAAGTGGGGTGTAGATTCCCCTCTCCTTGCTTTGCCTTGCCCCTCCAGAACAATACACGACCATCTGGAGTCTGTTCTCCTTCCCAGGGGCTCAGCCAGCAATTTCTTTTCCATTTTTTTTTTTTTTTTTTTTGCTTCTCTTAAGTTATTCTGTTTTCCAAAAGCAATGCACACTCCTGTCAGTCAGGAAGCGGGATCAAAGCTTCCGGGGCTGCCCTTCAGAGTCCTGGCTGTTGTAAATAATGCCTCTCTCTGTCACCCTTCACATGAGCGCCCAGAAACCAGGAGCGGGAGACACCAGCCAGGAGGATTATTTAGGTTATTTCAGCAGCGGCTTTTCGACCACCCACATTTGAAGTTGAGTAAATTCATACTTAATGCACCTTTGCTTTAAGCTTTGGTCAGATGAGCCACTTTATGAATATTTGAAACCGTTCCTGGAGGCAAGGGTGCTAAAATACCATCAGAGACACACATTTTTTATTTTATTTATTTATTTTTTTGCAAGACCTCATTAACTAATAAAGAAATAGCTAAAAGAAACAGGATTAACTTCACAGGAGGGGTGTTGCAGCCCCGTCCTCCTCCCAGCTCGGTTTACATAGATGCTCATTTATCATGATCTGTCTTGTTTTATCAGGAAAACTCAGCCTCACAGAAACGGAGATCTATAAATGCCCAGAAAAACACACCCAGAGATGATATGCCAAATAATCCCCGCTTGATATTCTATTCCAAAGTAATTTCAGGGCATCAGGGCTGGAGCACATTTAGGGAAGGCAGATGAGGAGGTGCTCATGCATTGCCTTTGCCTGTCCCTGAGCTCCAAGCTTGACTGTGGTCATTGCCCTATTGCCCTATTGGAGGACAGACAAGGCAGGGTCCAGCTGGGTCTAGACTAGCAGTTACCTGATTCTCCTACCCGAGGCAAGTCACTCAGCCTCTCTGTGTCTCCTCCTCGCCCCCCCCCCCCCCCCCCCCCCCCGGGAAATGGAACTAACAGTGACTATTCCACAGTGGAATTCTGAAAATACAGGAGGGAGTCGGCATAGATGCTGTATAATTGGTAAAGGAGTCTCTGATGTTTAACATCAAGCAATAAGGACCAAATAGCTATTTAGTGCTGGCCAAATACCTTAGTTTTAGATAGATTATAACATTTCACATCTGGATAAAAATATGACTTTTCCTGTTCTTTGGTGAAAGTCTGGGAAATCCATTACCTGCCCAGTCACTCGGCTTAGAAACAGTGAGTTGCCTGGAGCCTAGGATTCTGGGTCTCGTGCGAGTGGTCACTTGAGCACCATTGTGTCCGATTGTTTTTTTTTTTTTAATGTCAATACGCTTACTGAATGAAACATTAGACTTATATGCCAGATGGCAGCTTGCTGCTTCCTAAGTAAAGTCGACGATGAATCTTCATGACCATTTTCCTTAGAACCCGAAGCTCATATTGCCGAGAAGTTCTGGGATGCTGCACAAATTATGCAGGAAGGAGAGAAGAGAGAGGGGGCAGGATTGAAAGGAATTTTTTTGGGTCCCATGATTAAATTTTAGGGTTAAGCTAGTATGTCTTCCCAAACCTATTTCATAATGCTTTTTACCTCATGTGACTGGTTATGCTCAGATTCAGAATGAGTCTGATAGCATTCATATAAACATGGAGAGAGCTATTTTTTTTTTTTAATTTCATTACTGCCTTTAGGTTTAAGAGGTAAAAGAACAAGAATTGTCGAGAGGGTCTGGGTTCAAATCCTAGCTCTGATATTTAATGATGTCAAGAGAACTGAAACAACTCAGTCACTAAATAAAATATTAAAAAGACTGCCATAAAGATAAGAAATGCATGTGTCCCTCAGTATCTGAGGCATTGTCTCTAGGACTCCCTGGACTCCCTAAAATACTGAAGTCTGTATATAATTCAGAACTCCCCCTCTTTTGAAGTTGGGTCCAGCTGACCTCAAACTCATTATCCTCCTGCCTCAGTCTCATGAATGCTAGAGTTATGGGCAAGCATCCATGCTTGGCCCTTTTTCAAGTTCTTTATATAATAAAGTATTTGCAGAGATCCTGTGAATATCCTCCTGTATATGCTAAGTTAGACCTAGATGACTTTTACTATATAGTATAAAATGACAAGGAAAACATCTGTACATATTCAGTGCAGATGTGATGACTTCACCCCACAGATTTTCCCCTCTCTCATTGGTTGAAAACTTGGGTGTGGGATCTACGGATGGAGTAGGCCAGCTGTCCTTGGCAAAGACCTCGATCTCCTATTTATTTTATTTATTTATTTATTTATTCATTTGTTCATTCATTCAGTGAGGTTGAAGAAAGGTGTGTGTGATCTTGCCGGGCGCCAGAGAACAGACAACAGGGATTCAAAGATCAGACGGAGCAAGTCAAAATATAAGTAATTCCTTCAGTATGTTCATTAGGGAGAGATGATGCAGTGGCTGATGGGGACAGTGGCCCCCAATCCTGGTTATATGACACCCTCACCTGTAGATTCCTGGTCTCTCTCCCTCGGGTTCTGATTGGTAGGGCCTTATAGTAGGAGCTGCGGGCTGCGTTCCTGCCACCCAGCTTCTGGCCACCTGGCTAGCATATGCCCCTAAATAACAACACACAAACTGTATTCATTTAAACACTGCCTGGCCCATTAGCTCTTCTGGCTAATTCTCATATTTTGCTTTAACCCATATCTAGTAATCTGAGTAGCACCATGAGGTTTGGCTTACCGGGAAAATTCTAGCCTACTTCCATCTTTGGCTAGAGCTTCATTGCGTCTGCCTTGGAGAGGAGTGGCATGGCAATTGCCTCACTTCCTCCCAGCATTCTGTTCTGTTTACTACGCCTACCTAATTTTCTGTTCTATCAAGGGCCAAGGCAGTTTCTTTATTAACCAATGAAACCAACTTAAAACAGACTCCCACATCAGGGCCTGGCTGAGATGCCAGCATTTGTGAGATGCTTCAGAGAGGATGCTAACAACTATGGAACATCTGGCAGATGCTCTGGTTTTACACCAGTGGTCCTTTACCTCCATACACACTGGGATCACGAGAACGGCCCTGAAAGTCTCCGTAGCTGTGCCCAAACCCAAATAAACAAGGATCTCAGGGAGTGGGCACTGGCATCAATGTTTGCACATAGGTCTTCCAGGCCACTGAGGCGAGAGAGTGGGAATGTATATTAATTTATGTCTGGTCTAACAAGTTCGTTCATAAGAAAAAGATGGAAATTTCTTTGTGATTGTAATGGCAGGATGAAAACTTTTGACTAAAAGTATAGGAAGACTTTATTATATTGTTGACATAGGTAAAATCATGGAACAGTGAGATAAAGAGACCAACAACAAAACATAGAAAGAAGGGGCCTGTGGGGAGAACCCAGGGCTCCAGGGACATTTCAGTTGGCATGGCAACTACAGAGACAGAGATGGACCCTAAATTTCAGTAGAAGTTGGGCAAACATCACACCACACTTAGGTGTCAGGGGTGGGGTGGGGGAGGTGGAGGTGGGTAAGAGCATGTGTGCATGCAGGCACATATTTGGATATGTGTATGTTATGTTTGGAGACCAGAGGTCAATGTTGAGTATCTTCCTTCACGGAACTTGGAACTCAACCATCCAGTGAGGGTAGCTGGCCAGTAACTCCAGGGATCCTCCTGTCTCTACATGCTGGGAGCTGGGGTTACACACCTGTGCTGTATTGCTCTGCACCCAGGTTCAGAATCCCCTGCTTGTGTAGCAGGCTCTCGCTGGCTGAGCTGTTTCCTGTGTACCACAGCTAACTTCTGAGCCTGTGTCACAGCACAGTGATGACGATGGCAACGGGGAAGGCAGGAGCATTTGACCGATGTGAGGACATACACTATATCCCTGGGATCAGTCTGTGTTGAACATCCAGAG